TTTTCCCCCGACTACTATTCCACCTTAGAGGTTCAACCCCCTTTTCCTTTGTGCTTTTCAGTGACACAGTATCTTCTGTCCAGACTTTATACCCTTTTCCCAAACTCCCAGTAAATCTTTTGGCCAGTATTTTATATTCTTAGAATATCTTCATTCTTTTGCCCCAACCTGGCTTCCTAGAGGAATAAGCAGTACTATTAAGGTATAGATAAAACAAAGACAATGCAGAATATCCATTCTCAGCTATTTAAATTAGACTGATTTGGGAGGCATGCTCACTTCCAAACTAATAACTGTGGCATTTAAGAGGAACTATCATCTGCACCTTTAACAGGACTGACTCTCAACAGAGGAAGTACCTACCTCCTCTGCACCAGGAATGACCCTTAAGAGAGGAACTACCATCTATTTCTGAAGTAGGAATTGCACTGTACTTCTGAGCTTTTTTCAGTTAGTCATGTTATTTGAGGGAAGAAAGCCAAGAGGCCCACTTATGAGTCATGAAACATTCTGGCTGAAAAATAAAACATAGGCAGCACCCCAAATCTTGACTAAGTCATTAGGATCTTGATTTTCCCAAATCAAAGGGATGGAAAGGAGGACAGAGGTCAAGGTCTTTCTGGCTCCAATAAAAGTTAAGGGCCCTAATTAAACTTAACTCTAACTAGGGGTGATTCACACAGCCGAGGTGGCAGAAGTACCAGTTGCATAAAGAACACTGCCACCTGAGTATAGGATTCTTTTTCTCTGAAGTACTTACTTGGCCTAGGCCTATAGAGTTGCTCGGGATACTATGCTAGCAAATATTGCAGATGTTTACAAAAACATATATACTAAGAAGTCAGAAATAGGATTAATCTGACTTGTCAATGTGACTGGTTATTTCTAAGCAGGTTCAAACTGATTTATGACTCACAAACTAGGTTTAGCTCAGGAGTCATCTAACTAAAGAGAATAAAGCACCGAGGAATAACACTAGACATTCTCAATAAATATCTGAACACCCTCTCTAAAGGAGCTAAAACCTTTCTATTTGATAGGTGAAGGGGAATCAAGCGGATGATGAAAAATACATAGCGCTGCCCTGCTCTTATATCCTGGGAGGGCAAAGTCAAACCCATGCCTCTCTGTCCACCCTGACGTGAGATTTTAAAGCAGCACACATGGGGCATAAGTGAAGGGTCAAGTTGGAGCATTACTGATTCCACTTGGGATCTTGAGACTGGCTGGTCTTAAACTGTCTTCATCTCTCCCTCACCAACTTTCAGTCATGCTCTGATAGTTCTCCAAATCAGTGGTCTCCAAACTTTCACTTCCAATGAGAACAATTTTAAGCACACATCTGTTAACATACAAATGTAGGCTGCAGGGTCAGCAGGTGGCATGCTGATTAAGGTGCTGGAGCCCACATGGCTGAATTCACGGCTGACTCCACGATTTCTCCCTTTCTCTATCTCCTGCAAATGTACTTGCCTTATGGCAAAAACAAAACAACAAAAAGAACCAAACCATTTTGCAAGCCTGTTTTCTAAAATAAACATCTCTGAGACAAGGAAAAAAATCTCTCTCTCTGTATGTATGTATGTGTATGTGTGTGTGTGTATATATATATATATGTATGTGTGTATATATATACACACACTGTGTATGTATGTATGTGTATGTGTGTATACACACACACACACACATATTCTTATGTCAGTCTAACCAAGGACAAAGTGTTATTTGTTCATAGTAAATACCGGACAAAAAAATGTTAAATTAGGTTGATTATTTCAGATATCCCTTATGTGAAATTTGGGACTAGAAGTGTTTGAATTTTGGAATATTTGTTTATACACAGTGAAACATCTTGGAGATGGGGCATGAGTTTAAGCATGAAATCATTTGTTTCACGTAAACCTTACATACATGGCCTACAAGTAATTTTATACAATATTTTTGTATTGCAGTTTTTTGACTCTGACCTGTCACATGAGGTCAGGCCTGGAATTTTCCACTTGTGGCCTCATGTCAGTGCTCAAAAAGTTTTGGATTTTGGAGCATTTTTGGATTGGGGTGCTCACCCTGTATAGGTCGTTAAAAAAGCACATTTTCTCCTTCAAACCCTTGAAATGGGATAGCTGAATGAGAGAAAATGCAAGAAACCTGCCTAGTAACAGTATTTGTGATAGGGTAAGTTCTACCATTTTGTCATTAGGGCTGAGAGGCAGACTGTGGGGCTTGAGACCTGGGTTTGAAGTCTAACTCCACTACTTATTGTGTAACCTCCAGGCAAGATACTTAACCCCTCTGGAACAGTAACAGTATCTGCCTTAAAGGGTAGGTGGGGTAGCACTCACAGCTCTCAGATTAGTGCTATAGATGGAACACAGTAGTGCTATGTGTTTACTGTTATCATCATATCCAGATCCCGAGAGGAGAATGGAGAAGGGATTGTGGTGTGGCCATCCCCCCGGGGGCTTTTTCTCGCTTTCTTTCTGTCCCTCTCAGGGAGTGCACATGCCCTATAGCAAAAATCTCTAAATAAATTTGGCTGACCATATGGTTTAAGTCCTGGACTCTGCAATTTGAAAAGCAGGCTAGGAGTTTGTGTGTGCATGTGTGCCCAGAATTCCAAAAGAAGGGAAAGATGGAAGAAAAGAGATTGTAGCGTGACCATGCCTGAGAGGGGGTGGGGATGCTTTCTGGCTTTCCTTTTTTTGTTCTCTCTCTCATGAGTACATGTGCTCTAAGGCAAAATTAAAAAAAATATGTTTCTAGGGACCAGCAGGTGGCCTGGTGGTTAAGGCGCTGGACACTCCCACATGGCTACCCTGGTTCAAGTCCTGGATCTGGTGGCTTCCTTTCTCACTTTCCCTCTGTCTGTCTCTGGCCAAATTAAAATAAATGAATGAATGAATGAATAAAATTAAATGAATAATCTTTAAAAAATGTTTCTAGTGCAATAGAATGGACTCTTTTTGTCTCAGAAGTAGAACATATGAAGACAGAAGACAAATTGCAGGTTGAGGGTACATTATTTGCTGGGCAGTCACCAGATTAACTAACTACTGTAAAAGCATGATATGAACTGAGAAGGCCAAGGAGATGCACTTTGGTTTCTCAGCCTGTGCCTGCTCTTGGGTAGAAGAGTCTCTTTAAATTATTGTGTCATCACACTGACCACCACCACTCCAGCTAGGTCTGTAAATACCTTATAGTCCTTTATTCTCCAGCTTGCTTCTTCATCTTAGTTAAGTTCTCAAACTGTACACACTTCAAGCATCTAAAACAGAGAAACTCTCTTCCACTCTATCTGATCTTATACAGATAGGAAAAAATATCCTGAACTTTAATCAACAATCTATCAAAAATTAGTGCTTACATTAAGGCTTTCTTTTTTAAAAATTTTGCTATAGGGTGCGAGTGCTTGCCAGAGACTGAAAAGGAAAGTCAGAAATCACCCCCACAGAGGGATGGCCATACTGCAATCTCCTCTCCATTCTCCTCTCAAGATTTTGGGCATGGACATGCATGCTTGCTCACCTGGTGTGTTTTTCAAGGTCCAGGACTCGAATCACAAAGTTGGCCATATGAGGTCCAGCCACCTTAATTTGCACACTACCAGCTGGCCCTGCTAAAGCTTTCAGTGTCCAGCTTCTACCTGCTTCTTTCAAGGCTGGGTTCTTTAGTAGGAACTAAGTAATCGGTAGTACTTACAGCTCTTTCATCCATTTTGTGACAAGTTCTTGGACTCTCAATGTCAACGGAACAAACCCCTCTGCAAACATTGCAAAACTAAAGTTGGTTGGTTTCATTTTTCACTTGAAATTCTACTCCAGAGAAAGTGGGTGGAGTGGAACGCAAAATCTTTTGATGTGGTCACTAAAGTTGTAACATTGTATTTTCCAATTCAAATTGAAAATCTGTAACTGAAACCCTCTATTCCTTTAAGAAGTTCTTTCCATAAGAGTACAGGTACTTGGGAACCAGCAGTTAGCGTAATGGCTATGTGGCTGGACTCCCAAGTAGTGGACCGCGGTTCGCATCCCGGACCCGGTGGCTTAATACTCATGCCGGGCAAATGTGCGTGCCTGCCCAATGATCCAGAGAGGAAAATGGAGGAGAAGGGATTGTGGCGTGACCATCCCCCCTGGGGGGTGATTTCTCGCTTTCTGTCTCTATGTCTCTCTTTGTCTGTCTGGCAAGTGCACGCACCCTTATAGCGAAAAATCTCTCAAAAAAAAAAAAAAAAGAGTACAGGTACTTTTTTCAAATAAGTAGGACGATTTCCAGATTTATTTCCCTTTCTCTTCTTTAAATTTCTTAGAGGTTGTGTGCAAGAGACAGAGAGAGGGAAAGGGAAGAAGAACCCCTCACATGGGGGGATGGTCATAGCACAATCCCTTAACCTCTCCCTCATTTTGGGATTTTGGGTACACACAGACATGCCAGAATGCTTCTTAAGCCCCTGGGGCCAGGACGTGAACCACAGTCAGGCATGTGGGATTGAGCTTCCTTAACCACCACACCACCTGCTGAGTCCTTCAAATTGTATGTTCCAATAAAGATTCCGACTGCAGCGCAAGAGGGAGTTGTGTGTCACAAGCTGTAAGAAACACTGTGAGTTTCACAGGGGAAAAAGTGATTAAGAATCACAAAATTCCAGAACTCAAAAGGAGACCTATTTTATAAGAGAATAAATCGTGAAAAAGAACTGGCTTTTTTGCCTTGTCAGCGAAAAGGATATTAAAAAGAAAAGCAGAGGATGAGTGTCCACCGATGTGCTGGGGGTTACCCAAAGTTTCTTACAAGGCATAAAGAAAAAGATGTTCTGCGCCTCCTGCCCTCAACCCCGGCGCTGGGCGCGGACCTTTTGTCGTCTGTCCTACAAACTAGAAAACTCCCAGGGGCCCCAAAATACACGTTCCAAGTAAAGACAAAGTTGTGTGCGGACGAATTTTATCGAGGACCGCCCTTTCTTCCCCAATCCAGCCCACGCGCTCGGGATCCGAGGTTGGGCCTTGGCCGCCCCTAACTCTAATCCGCCCAACCCGGCTCAGGGTCTCAGCGTGAGATTTCGGCGGGGGCTTCCGCTAAGGGCGCGGGAACCTAGGGCAGGCCCGGGGCTCACCGCAGTCCTTGAACTGAACCGGCTGGGCCTGGGTGGCCGCACTGAGTGCCAGGAGCAGGAACGCGGCACCCAGGAGACGCATAGCGGACAACGAAGTTCCAAGTTCGAGGAAGCAAGGCACTGCCGCCGCGGTCACAAGATAAACCTCTCTGGGTGGGTCCGGGGAGGAGCCCAGTCAGGCGACCAGTGACCAGCTCCCCGGGCTGAGGCATGCCGGCGCCCCGCCCCGGGCAGAGCCAGACGCGGCTTGGGCCGGCCCAGACGCCCGCTAACTCCGCCCATCTTGTCCACTCACTGGCCGGACCGGCAGCAAGCGGTGCCCGCCCCGCTCCGCTCCTCCCCTCAACGCTCCGCCCCGGCTTTATTGGGACGTCGCCGCTTCCGCAATTGGAAGCATTTTTAGCCAATCAAGTTCCTTCTCTTCTCACACTACCCAATAGGTACGTCTGGGGGCGGAGTCTCCGCGGTCCCGCCCTCCGCGTTCCTTCTACCAGGAGCGGGGAAGGGACAAGGGAGACGCAAGGGGCGGGGCTTGTGGAGAAAGATGGCGACCGCCCGAGGGTGGTCCCTGACGGCCGCAGCGCTGAGAGCGGTCACCTCCTGGCCAAGGGGCAGGTACAAAGACTAGAAAGGCGCTCGGCAAAGGTGTTAAGTTGTGCGCTCCCAGGGCAAATGGGAAGCCAAGGTCCGCGGGGGAGGTGAAGGTTTGTCTTGGGGCAGTCCAGGTGGGGGCTGCCAGGTGACCCTTCTGCTCTTGGGCTCATTCCTTCTTTCTTGCGCACAGGCTCCTCGCGGCCTCCACGGGCCTTCAGGTGCGTCGGGAAGCGTCGTCCTCGAGTCCGGAGACTGGCGAAGGGCAGATCCGCCTAACGGACAGCTGCGTGCAGGTAGGAGACTGGACGCCGGGCGGCAAGAGCCTGGAGCGTTGGGACTTTTCTCGTCGCCCACCCTTCTTCCTTTTCCCCAGCATTTTTGATCCCCCTTCTTGCATTTCAGAGGCTTCTGGAAATCACCGAAGGGTCAGAATTCCTCAGGCTGCAGGTGGAGGGAGGTGGATGTTCCGGATTCCAGTACAAATTTTCACTGGATACAGTTATCAACCCCGACGACAGGCAAGCAGGAAGGGGTGGGTGTTCAGAGGATGTTCGGGAGGGACAGAAGTATTACCAGTTTAAGGTGCACTTTTATTTCCAAATTTAAAGCGTTTGCTAAGGGTGGTTGACACCATCCTTATTACACAGTGAGGGTGCATTAAATAGCTAAGGGTGCAAAATATCTATGTTACAGGAGGGAAACTGGCCTGTAGGTCAATCAGATAATGGGTAGAGAATCCTTCTGGACCAGAGTCCAGATGTAAGTCTCCAAGCATTTCCCAGTATTCATTCTGTTGACTTTTTGCCTCAGAGGAGATCGGTGCTGTTAAGAGTTAAGGAAAACCCCCTCTGCTTCAGAGAGCAGAGGATGCATACCTCTGGGCTCACAGGGTTCATGTTTTCGGTGTTTACGATCTTCATTAATGCCTTCCTCCTGTCTTTTCAGGGTATTTGAACAGGGTGGGGCACGAGTGGTGGTTGATTCTGATAGCTTGGCCTTCGTCAAAGGGGCCCAGGTGGACTTCAGCCAAGAACTGATCCGAAGCTCGTTTCAAGTGTTGAACAACCCTCAAGCACAGCAAGGCTGCTCCTGTGGCTCATCCTTCTCTGTCAAACTTTGAGGTGATGACAGATGACCCTGAGATTGCCACCCACTGTACCAGTTTGAGGAACCTGGGGTTGGTAGACTTGAGATTTCCTTCTATTCACGTTCCCTCTCTCAGTTTTATTTCCCTCAATCCAGGAGTGCTGTGTTTTGCCACTATTATTTTCAGAATGTGAAGTTTTTACTCTTGGATCCACGCTGACCTGGCCTCCTTCTCCCCTCCCTATTGTTAAAGCCAGGCCTCCAAATGCTGTTACCTCAGATTTAATGACTGACTAAAACCCAGTATAATTTATAGAGCATCCAAGGCTCCAAAACTTGGAGTTACTTCTCTGGCCTTCAGAACTGCTTGTACATATGTGTATAGCTGTGTATAAAAAGCTTCATTTTAAAGAAAGTCCTTATTTATTTGTGTTTTGGAGCAGGGCCATAGATTGGGTATCTGGAATACTAGTTACTAGATCAGAGAGGATGAGAAAGGCAAAAGAAATATTCCTCTTTTCATTTCACCCTTTCTGAATGTGCCACTTGACTTCCCCTTATTTTATTTTTTAGAATTATTTTATTTAGGGAACCAGCAGTTAGCATAATGGCTATGTCGCTGGACTCCCACGTAGTCAACCGTGGTTCGCGTCCCGGACCTAGTGGCTTAAAACTCACGCCAGGCGCGTGTGCATGCGAGCCCAAGATCCTGAGAGGAGAATGTAGGAGAAGGGATTGCGGCGTGACCATCCCCTCTGGGGGGTGATTTCTCGCTTTCTGTCTCTCTGTCTCTCTCTGTCTGGCGAGCGCACGCGCCCTATAGCGAAAACCTCTCCAAAAAAATAAAAAAATAAAAAAATAAATAAAAAAAAAAGAATTATTTTCTTTAACTTTATTCATTTTTAATTTGTCCAGAGAGGGACAGTGAGAGGGCAAGCTGCCAGGTCCGGGACTCAAACTACTGTCATCCATGTGGGAGTACAGTGTCCTTAACGACTATGCTACCTGCTGGCCTCTGCCCTTATTTTCTGTGTTAGCCTATTTTCCACAACATATGTGGTAGGCAGATACATTTTATTGTCATACTCATGGATCTGTTAGGATTCATAAAACTAAGAGCGTGGCTACTCAGAAAACTTGGACCAAACCCCTATTGTTATCAGAAGTATTTGAGAAATAGAATTTGTATTCCATATTCATACAGGTATTTCAAGATTCTGTGGCCATTTAGTGACTGGATCTTTTTAAGATATATTGCTTCACCTATCTTATGGTGTGAAGTGCCTTTGGTCATATGTGTAGCAGGAAGTTGTTCCTTTGCTGGTATAAATAATAGATATTTAGAAATTATTATTTTGTTTTTCAGATTGGGTTACCAGATGAAATGCATGAGTCATTTAAATTTAAATTTAGGTAAACAGCAAATACTAAAAAATATTTTTAAAAATCATTTGTCGTTTCTCTGAAATTCAAATTTAATTAATCATATTTTTATTTGCTAAAGCTAACAACCCTACCTTGGGTTATCAAAAGAAAAGTTTTTTATTTTAAAGAATTATTTTTATTTAGCTTTATTTATTATTATTATTTTATAATATTTCCAGATAGATATACACAGAGAGCGAGAGAGAGAAGGAAAATGAGAAAGCAAACCTCCAGGTCTAGGATGTGAACCACGGTCGGCCATGTAGAAGTCCAGTGCCCTTAATCACCATGCCATCTGCCAGCTCCAAGAAAAGTTTTTTAAAGCTCAAATTCCAGTGAATTTGAAAGTCCTTGTTTAGGTGTGACACTTAAATAAGCTATAGAACTCGAAATAATTACATCGCAATGCTGGGAGGCCCAGAACCCTATAGATAAACAACTAAAAAGAGAAAAAGATCTTTTTCCCACCACCACCACTACAATAAATGATTTACTAATACAGATAATGTTGAGGAAACTACAACCAAGTTGATTCTGGAAGAGTTACTCTTTTTTTTTTTTTTTTTTTTGCTAGAGGTCACATGTACTTGCCAGGGAGACAGAAGAGAGTGAGAGTGAAAAAGCAACCCCCAATGGAATGTGGTCATGCTGCAGTCTCTTTCTGTCCATTTCTCCATCTTGTCAGGATTTAGGGCATGCATACACATGTATCCAGCATGTTTTTCAAGCCACTGGAGCTGGGATTTGAATCACAGTTGACCATCTGGGATCCAGCTTCCATAATAACTAGGCCATGAGGCTGGACCAAGTTAGTCCATCTTTTTTTTTGTAGAATTTTTTTGCTTGAGGGCATATGTGTTTGCCAGAGAGACAGAGGCAGAATGTGAGAAATCACCGCCCAGACAGGAAAGTCATGCCATAATCCCTTCTCTACTCCTGGGATTCTGAGCACACACACAGACGTGCCTGCGTGACTTTCAAGCTGCTGGGTCTGGGACTTGAACCATAATTGACCAGTGCCTTACCCGCTATACCACCTGCTGGCCCCAAGTTATCCCATCTTTTGAGTTTGGAACCCCAAAAGTTTGTTAAAAGCTTGCATTTCTGGGGAACCAGCAGTTAGCGTAATGGCTATGTCGCTGGACTCCCACATAGTCGACTGCGGTTCGCGTCCTGGACCCAGTGGCTTAAAACTCATGCCGGGTGCGTGTGCGTGCGTGCCCAAGATCCCGAGAGGAGAATGGAGGAGAAGGGATTGCGGCGTGACTATCCCCTCTGGGGGGTGATTTCTCGCTTTCTGTCTCTCTGTCTGTCCCTGTCTGGCGAGCACACGCACCCTATAACGAAAACCTCTCTAAAAAAAAAAAAAGCTTGCATTTCTGGACTGGAATAAAGGCATTTAGTAAGAGAATTTACCATTTAAAAAAAGTAGACTTTAGAATTAGAAAGACAGCAACTTAGATATTTACTTTTCCAATGTGGGAAAACCTAGAATGTAGAGAAAACAAATCTATCGTGTGGATAGAGGAAAGAAGGGGACTTTCAGAAATTTGAGCAGATTTCTTAGCTGCTCACGAAAGAGCAGAAAGCAACAACCACATGGTTGTCTGTGTGCACATGTTAATAAGGAATCGAAAGTCACTGCCGAGACCAGGGCCTGTTAAAATGTTCAGTTTGGACTACCTAAGCTTATATCCTGTATAAAGAGAGACTTACTACATTTTGAGTGTTAGAACCTATTCTTCCAGAATATTTTTGTGTGTTATTTATCAACTTGATGGTTTTAAAACTTCTGTTAAGCAGAATAGATTTACTTGCTAAATAAATTTACAAGTGATCAAGTAGGCAGAAGCAGAGTTCTTTAGAATGCAGAAACCACATGTGAGTACCTACAGTTAGGGGGAGAATTGGAATTTTGTTTTTAGAAAAGGATCTACACTTCACACTGAGAAAGTCCTAGGGAAATGAAGTGGTAACAAGAAGTCTCCTTTGGAGGGGGTGATTTAAGAACACAGGCTGTGAGGGAATGAGAGCACTAACAGGACGTGGAGTAGCTTGCTAGTAGTAAGCATGGTAGAATGCGTTTACAGTCTTCTGCGGGTCCTTTCTGAGCAGATGCCCTCTTCCTGGAAGGCCATAGAAGCTGACAGACATTTTCACAAATTTTGTTCACAATACAAATTCTTTCAGGAAAACTGTACTCTTCCTGTATTAATTGGGAGATCTTTTGCCTTCCCCTTATTTTCAAAGAGACACTTGTCAAAGCCTTATTTGTTGTAGAATTGGCTTTGTATATTTATTTATTATATGTATATTTATTTATTTATTTATTTATTTAGATTTTTGGCATAGCATGTGGGCTCTTGCCAGAGAGGCTGTGCTGTAATCTCTTCTCCTCCATTCAGCTCTTAGGACTTTGGGCACACTTATATACCCAGCATGTTTTTCAAGCGGGGACTCAAACCCCAGAGTATGCCACGTGGGATCCAGCACCTTAACCCCCATGCCACCTGCTGGCCGTATTGCTTTTATTTGGAAATTTTAAAAGTATTTCTTTCATTACGGAGAGAATGAAAGAGACAGGGAGACAGAGAGACAGAGTCTTTATGCCATGATCCACCCAAGCTTCACTCAGCATCCTGGGCACGTGTGCACATGCTCCATGTGTACGGGGAGCCATCGGGAGGGGATCCCAAGCCTTCCGGAGTGGCTTCAGCATCTTGGAGCACTGTGTTACTGCTGCATCACCACAGAGCGTCACTGGATGCTCTCTCAAAACCTCTATTTGCCTTTTTTTTCCTCTATAAAAATGCCACAGGGCTGCTCAATGGAGGTTTGCTTCAAGAAATAATTATCACCTAGCTTTTATAATAGCTATATGAAGAGAGGGAGCTAGCAGCAGCTGTATTTAAAAATATTTTATTTTTTTTGAGTAGTTAATACATATGTACAGAATTCAAAGATACAAAAGGGGATACAATGAAAAGTCTCCCAAATCCTATGTCCACCCTGTCACCCTCCCCACAAGCCTCCATTGTTTCTAAGAATTTATCCCATGGTATATTAAATAACACATGCACAAGAATATTCATTACAGCATTATTTATAAAAGCAAGAGATAGGGAACAATGAAAATGTCTACCATTGAGGGGCTAATAAAATAAATTATGATTTGTCCATTTAATGGAATAGTATATAACTGTAAAACAGAATGAGGCAATTCTTTATGTGCAAAGTACAAAGTGAAAAGGCAAAGTGCAAGAACAGCATGCATAGTGTGCTATTTGTGTTTTTAATAAAAGGCAGTGTGCATATGCATGCAAGTATATCTCTGGAAGGATGGGCAGGACGGCAGAGGTGGTGGTGGGGTCGGGATGGCACGTAAAAAGCCATAGGGCCAGCCAGCAGGGTATACTTGGGGAATGGGATGACTCCCCCGAACAGGGAGAAGAGGTGCAATGGCAAGGAAGAGATTACAGATATCTACTTCTCTTTCCACCTCTGTTTGGACAAACAGCAGTGTATGTTACATGCAATAATATATAACTCCCCCGTTTCCTCTATCTGCTATCTCTTTTGAATAAATTTAAAAAATGGATAGAGGGCACGTGCTCATGTTAAAGGGCAGGAGAATGAGATACCCTCCATGGGGAATGGTCATGCTGCAGTCCCTTCTCCATTTCCCCTCCTTTTGGGACTGTGGGCATATACACACATACACCTGGCATGTTTCTTAAGCTGCTGGGTCCTGGACTCACTGTGTAATTGGCCATGTGGGATCCAGCCTCCTTAACTACCATGCCATGTTTTGGATATTTTTTCAAGGCATTTACAGTCTGAAGGTCAAATTCCTAGAAGTGGAATTACGGATCAAAGTGAGTGCTTTTATCATTTAAAGAGATATTGCCATGATGCTCCCTGCAGAGGTAGTACCAATTTACACTCCCACGAGAGCGCCTGTTTTCCTAGAAACTTGCCAGCTAGGAACCTTAGCAAACTTTTTGATCTTTGCCAACCTGACAACTTTTTAAAAAAAGTATCTCAGTTTGGTTTTAAGTTGCATTTATTTTAATCATGAATGAAAGAATATTTTTTATGGTTGAGAGTCATTAATTTTTATCTGCCAACATCTCAACTAGTAGTGACCTAAAACAAATTAAACTTTCTGTTTGTCTATTTCCTCACCTGTAAATTGGTGATAAAAATGACAAGTAGGATTGCTGGATGAGTAAATGAAATTTCTGTACAGCACTCAACACAGTGCCGGGCACAGAGCAAGCATTCAGTAAGATATTCCATGAAGACGGACAAATCAGAGCAGCAGGCAGGACAGGGCACATTAAACTAAGAAAGTAACCTTCATCCCCATGTGGCTAGGCACACGGAGCCATGTGCATTTACAGTCCACTGCCATTCATCAGGGGCCAAGTCAGAGCTTGCCTTGTGAAGAGCCTTCCCCACTGGAACCCAGTCCTGGGCTATTGGCCAGGGAGTAGGCACAGCCTCTTCCCCAACGTCTAGACTCACTGACATGGGGCAGAAATCGGGTCTAACGTGAAATAAAAACGAGAACAGAGGAACCCAGGTGTACATTTCTTTATTCCACCATGGTTCTGAACTTCCAGCTAGCCAAGGTTGGAGTGTCTGTACTTATAAATTCAGAGGGATGCCAACTGTCTGTTTTCTCAAGGGGAAGAGGACAGGGGCTCTGAGTTGAGAGGGAAAAGAACATTGGAAATCTGGCTTTCTCTGAACAAGATTACATTACATAGCAGACTTCTATTTTCCACACATCAAACTGATTTTCTTCAAAGAAGCCCCGCAGAGATCTGTAAGAAGCAGTAGGCATTTTCTGTGAGAAGCAGTATGCGTTTCATGACGGGCCTTAGAGATGGGTACTCTGTCTTGTGGCCGCCCTTGCTGCTGGTGCACAGGAGCTCTCACTCGGGTTTCAAATGCTTGTAAGTACCCAGAGCTACAAAATACTTTCTTCAGATGTATGAAGCCTCAGCTCCCCCTTTCTCATGAACTCCACGAGGTTTTTGTACTGCTGTCTTGCCGCTTTCTCAGGCTCTTGTCCCTCTTCATTTGTGTCCCTTGCACTCAACAAGCTAATATCTATCTTGCCTCTGAGACGAGAGAATCTTCTGTCCTTCCCTGGAGCCACAGAACTGACTACAGGATGCCAGTGTGACATGCGGCAAGTTAGGGCCCAGCCCAGATCGGCTGAGTGTGGTTCGAGTCGGTCCCAAACTCCTTCATGCTCCACAGATAAGGGGCCTTCCAGGGCAGATGTAGCCTCTGCCCGAGTTGTGGAGTCATCAGGTGACACATGGATCACAGCTGGGAAGGTGTCTGCACTGTGAAGCCAGAGGACCGTGCACATTGGCACAGCTCAAGGGGGTAGGCGGGGCCAACCTTTGGTGAGCATCCCATAGCTAGGCCAGGACAGGTGGGCTGGGCCTGTGGTCACTGGCCACAGCAGTTGGTGGAAGCGTTTGGTGGTTGAGCCAAGTAAGGGCACAGCAGCACAGAGCAGTGACGGAAGCTCACAGCCAGAGCCTAAGCTGGGAGAGATGAAAGCAGGCAAGGCTGGCTGGGACCTGGGCTGCAGGGCCTCTGGCCTGATGTCCTGGTGTCTCCCCAGCTAGGAGAGCATCCTCAAAGCCCCGCTCATGGTTGGAGGCTGTTTCCAGGTAGTTGCCTACACTGACCCCTCACGGTTACTCCTTGGCAGCACAGTGCGGGGGGCCTGCCTCGGCCACGTAACCTGGGGAGCAGTGGCAGCGGTAGGAGCCTTCTGTGTTCTCGCAGTGACCGTGGGCACAGAGTGCAGCAGGCCCGTTCAAGTCCTCACATTCATTGACATCTAAGAGGAAGGGAGGGAGGACAGAGTTGTAGGGAGCCTAGGTGCCTTTGGCCTGCTGCCCTTGCCCTGCAGGGGAATCCTGTGTGTGACAGTGAAAGGCTGAAGTCACTTCCAAAACCAGCATTTCGGGGACACAGAGCATGAGGCCGTGAGTTTATGTTGGGCCATGCTATCTTATCCCTGCCTCTGTTGTCTGGAGCCCTCCATAGCAGGGCTTTCTAAGCTGGGCCTTACATTGGCCAGGGCCATCTCACCCCCTCCCACTAGGAGGCAGCAGTGGACTTGCCAGCCATCCCAGGTTCCGGTCTGCCTGGGCAGTGACGAGTCTCACTTCTCTGTCAGGGTCCTGACTCACCCACACAGGCCATGTGGGCTGCATCCAGCTGGAAGCCCTCAAAGCAGTCGCAGGTGTAGCCCTCGCGCACACGCACACAGCGGCCATTCTCGCAGCCGTTCAGGATGCCGCACTCCTCTGCCTGAAGCCCTTCAAAGCCAGCCTGGGACTCTGGTAGGAGGCAGGCAGGGAGGAAGCTGAGGCCTTGGGCCTGGACTTCAGTCTCATCAGTGCTGGGGCCCACCCCCTCCCGCACTAAGGGGGATCCCCCCACCCCTGGTCTGGTGGGAGTGGGTCATAACATGCCCCTGGAAAGATGCCAGACACTTGGTGGTTCTTAGAACAGGACGTGTCATTTTAGGTGGGGGCTGGACTGTACTTAAGATGAGGGCTCCAGCAGGTCAAGGTTCACTGCTTTCACAGCCCAGGTGCCCGGCCGGCTGGGTGCTTCATGTAGTTTTTGGGTTTTGCAGTGGTGGGTGTTAAAATCTTTACATCTTTTTTGGGGGAGGGGATTGGGAGTAGAGGGCCCTGTTCAACACAAAGCAAAACGTCTTTCAAATCCTGCCTAAATCTCTAAACACCCCCTCCCCAAAAGACCCCTTCCCGCATGGCAGCATGGTCTCCGTCAGTCTGATAGGTGGCTGGGCCTGTCACATATGTGCTAAGCCTGAGTCACCACAGTGGGCCTTTAAAGTCATTAATTCATATTTCAGGTCAGAAGTCAGAATGCCAGTTCCTGCCTTAGAGCAGGCTATTTGGCGTTCTGTAAGTGGTTTGGAGGGAGAAGAACAGACCAGAATGTCACTCTCATCTCCCACTCAGAGCTTTGAGGTTAGGACAGTGTCCTGTACCTCTTTGTGTCTCTGTGCTAGTTTGCCACAGGAATTGTTAGAATTTGACCTGGGCATACGGAGTTGTCTCTTGAACGACCTGTGACATCTGGCTTGGATGTCTTTTCCCTTCCCCGTCCTCACCTCGCTGGCAAAATGATTGGCAGGTGGAGGAAGTGGACAAGACACAGCCTCATTGTCCACTTCCCCATTTTTGTTGCAACACAGACCTGGATGGCTGGCCACGTAGTGGGGTTCAAGTTCTGAGGGCTGCAGGGGAGACTCAAGGTCCCCTGGGTGGCTGGCCATGTTGGGGAAGGGGTGCTCAGGCACGGTGTCCTCAGGGCCCAGGTAGTTGTAGAATGGGGCCCCATCTGGGCCGTACAGGCTGTAGTGCAGGTCGTCAACGCCGGGGCCATACTCGTAGCCTGGCCGGAAGTGGATCCCAGCCTCCCGCTCTGCCTCTATCCGGGCCACGTTGCACAGCTGAGCATAGACCTCTGTCAGGAAGGAGGGAAGGGCAGCTGGGCTCCAATCCCTGTGAGGGAAAGCCTGGGGGCTATTTTGGTTCCCCAAGGAGAGAGAGCATGTAGGGATTGCTGCCCCTGGGAGTTCCTGACAACACCCCCACCCCCCACTGTGTCCCCAACAGCAGGGATGGGAGACAGGGCCACTCCTCTGCTCTCCTCCCTTTCAGATACCCCCTTCCAAGGTGGATGCATTGCCTCCCTGGGCCAGCTCCTGCAGGGGTCTCCCGCTCACCAGAGCTCCTTGGGGGGCACAGAGCACACTGCTGGCTCCAGGCCTCGCCATCCTGGCAGCAGCATTCGGTGTAGGTGGTGCGGCGCCCACGTAGGGGTTGGCCGCACACATCGTTGGTGACTGTTTTCCAGCAGATGTCCACGTGGATGTCATGGTCAGGGAAGTCCTCTGGTGGCACAGACCACCGACCGGCATGTGAGCCCCAGCCCAGGGTCCCTTGTTCCACTGCCCCAGGCCCACTCACCCCAGGCCCACTCACCCAGGCTGCTGGTGCTGTTCATGCAGCGCTGCCTGCTGAGGTCCAGGGTGAGGGGGGGGCTGCAGAAGCAGTGGAAGGAGCCTTCCGTGTTCACGCACTCGCCGTCCTCACAGGCCATGTCGTGGCACTCATCGTGATCTGTGGTGGCAGGAGAGCGGGGCAGTGCCAACGCAGTGCCCACTGGCCACCCTCACGGAAGGGGGTTTCCTCTAATCAGGAAGAGGCAATACCCCGTTTCCTCTCCCCAGCCCAGCCCAGCCTGGGAGACCCCTCCCAAGGAGAGTCCCCCACAGCCCAGAGCTCCCCTCACCTCAGACCTGCCTGCTGTCCTCCCCAGGAAGGGAGACTCCCAGCGAGAATGGGACTGGCTGGCAGGGGCTGGGGTGGGGAGGGGACGTGTGTGTCCTCACCCTCACACTTCCTGTGGGCAGCGTCGTAGTGGTAGCCAGGGTTGCACAGGCAGATGTAGCCAGGCACCGTGTTGAGGCACCGGCCATTGGGGCAGAGACCAGGCCCAAACATAGCACACTCGTCGGCATCTGTGGGAGGCCAGAGCTGAGGTGAGGGAAGGTGAGAAGCGAAATGAGGCAACTCTTACCATGTGAGACTCCGAGCCAGGCCGTCTGTCTTTGAATCCCAGCCCTTCCACCTACTGTCAGGTGACCAAAGCAAGCTGCTTAAGCTCTCCTTGCCTCAGTTTCCTACCTAAAAAGTGCAGATGGTGCTCTTGAACCTCTTGCAGTTGTTAGGATTAAAAGGGGTTGCCAGTGGCTGGCATGGAGCACGCAGTTGTGGAAAGCTAATTCACTCTGTTATTTCCTCCCTGGGACTAGCTTGAGGACTACAGCACTGGGACTCCGTGCACCCCAGCATGAATACCCGCAGCTGTCTACCCTGTCCCTCTGCCCATGTGTGACTGGGGGAGGCTCAGTCAAGGCATCATAGCTTGTTCCTGGAGGGCGTAGCCTCGGGGGAGCAGGGAGACTGAGGTGAGGATTCCGTGGACTCTGCAGGAGGAGCTGGGGTCAGAACCCCGGCTGAAACTCTGAGGGAGTCAGTCCTGGGACAGAAAAGGTGGAAGTGACCTGGGAGGCCCGGGCTGGGTATAGAACTTCCCCGGGACCTCCTGCAGGACCGGCCAGGGCCCACTAGAATGCATGGGGAGGAGGGCTCAGAGGGAGGTTACCTGTGTACATGGTCTGCCCGAACGTCCAGGTTCCTTCCACTGGGACGTAGCCTCTCCCGCTGGGGCAGAGCTCGCTGAATTCAGCTGTGTGGGGAGATGGCTGAATTCAGAGGAGAGGCTCTTACCCCTTCCTCCTTCCCCTTTTTTTTTTAAAGGTTTTTGCTATAGGGCACATGCACTCGCCAGAAAGAGAGAGATAGAAAGTGAGAAATCACTCCCCGGGGGGATGGCCATGCCACAATCCCTTCTTTTCCATTCTCCTCTCGGGATCTTGGGCATGCACGCACACGTGCCCAGTGTGGGTTTAAGCCACCAGGTTCGGGACTCAGACCACAGTCGACTACATGGGAGTCCAGCGACATAGCAATTATGCTAACTGCTGGTCCCTCCTTTCCCTTCTTATACTGTCACCCTGCAGATCCAACCCTAAGAGGATGTGGGGCCCTCAGGGCCTTACCTGAGTCCTCAGATGGGCAGAGGTCGCAGGCATCTCCCCAGCGGACCCCCTGGGTACAGCAGCACTCAGCCTGAGTGGTGTTCCCGCCCAGGAGGCTGGAGCAGGGAGTATGGCCCTTCTGCCCAGAGTAGCAGTCCATGCGGATGGGGCCTAGGGCCTGGTCCCTCGTCGGCGCCTCAGGGACACTCTGACCTGTATGTGATAGGCTTCCCCAATCATTGTCCGTCTGTGACCCTCCAAAGCGCCCAGCCCTTCTTAAACATAACATGTGACACTTCAGAGTGTACACAGTGCCACTCCCTGCCTTACCTCCCCCACGCCCTCAGCAACCCTCGAGGTGGCTGTTGTTACCACCGTCTCCCTGTACAGGCAAAGACGTGGAGGCCTGGAGAAGCTCCGTGCCGTGCCACAGCCATGCAGCTCTTAGGAGAGAAGCAGGGATTTGATCCTGGTCCCTCTGGTGCCGAGGCCCTGCCCTTCCCAGTGTTCACCCCACCTTCCTTCCCTATGGTGGGATACCCCAGTTCCATTTTCTTTTCTCCAAGTTAGCAAAGGCTGCTCAATCCCAGTCCAGCCTGGGGTGAGAGGCTGCAGCCAGCAGCTCTGGGGTGGGGTGAGAGCTGCGAATGGGGAGACCAGCTTAGCTCAGCTTTTAAGACCTATCTTATCCTGAAGAATCCCTGTGGCGCCCATGTGTGACTGGGGGAGGCTCAGTCAAGGCATCATAGCTTGTTCCTGGAGGGCGTAGCCTCGGGGGGGCAGGGAGACTGAGGTGAGGATTCCGTGGACTCTGCAGGAGGAGCTGGGGGCAGAAACTCGGCTGAAACTCTGAGGGAGTCAGTCCTGGGACAGAAAAGGTGGAAGTGACCTGGGAGGCCCGGGCTGGGTATAGAACTTCCCCGGGACCTCCTGCAGGACCGGCCAGGGCCCACTAGAATGCATGGGGAGGAGGGCTCAGAGGGAGGTTACCTGTGTACATGGTCTGCCCGAACGTCCAGGTTCCTTCCACTGGGACGTAGCCTCTCCCGCTGGGGCAGAGCTCGCTGAATTCAGCTGTGTGGGGAGATGGCTGAATTCAGAGGAGAGGCTCTTACCCCTTCCTCCTTCCCCTTTTTTTTTTAAAGGTTTTTGCTATAGGGCACATGCACTCGCCAGAAAGAGAGAGATAGAAAGTGAGAAATCACTCCCCGGGGGGATGGCCATGCCACAATCCCTTCTTTTCCATTCTCCTCTCGGGATCTTGGGCATGCACGCACACGTGCCCAGTGTGGGTTTAAGCCACCAGGTTCGGGACTCAGACCACAGTCGACTACATGGGAGTCCAGCGACATAGCAATTATGCTAACTGCTGGTCCCTCCTTTCCCTTCTTATACTGTCACCCTGCAGATCCAACCCTAAGAGGATGTGGGGCCCTCAGGGCCTTACCTGAGTCCTCAGATGGGCAGAGGTCGCAGGCATCTCCCCAGCGGACCCCCTGGGTACAGCAGCACTCAGCCTGAGTGGTGTTCCCGCCCAGGAGGCTGGAGCAGGGAGTATGGCCCTTCTGCCCAGAGTAGCAGTCCATGCGGATGGGGCCTAGGGCCTGGTCCCTCGTCGGCGCCTCAGGGACACTCTGACCTGTATGTGATAGGCTTCCCCAATCATTGTCCGTCTGTGACCCTCCAAAGCGCCCAGCCCTTCTTAAACATAACATGTGACACTTCAGAGTGTACACAGTGCCACTCCCTGCCTTACCTCCCCCACGCCCTCAGCAACCCTCGAGGTGGCTGTTGTTACCACCGTCTCCCTGTACAGGCAAAGACGTGGAGGCCTGGAGAAGCTCCGTGCCGTGCCACAGCCATGCAGCTCTTAGGAGAGAAGCAGGGATTTGATCCTGGTCCCTCTGGTGCCGAGGCCCTGCCCTTCCCAGTGTTCACCCCACCTTCCTTCCCTATGGTGGGATACCCCAGTTCCATTTTCTTTTCTCCAAGTTAGCAAAGGCTGCTCAATCCCAGTCCAGCCTGGGGTGAGAGGCTGCAGCCAGCAGCTCTGGGGTGGGGTGAGAGCTGCGAATGGGGAGACCAGCTTAGCTCAGCTTTTAAGACCTATCTTATCCTGAAGAATCCCTGTGGCGGGTGGATTCAGGGTCCCTCTAAGGCCCAACATGAGATCCCTCTGTTGAGACAGCATCAGAGTTCCCCAAGCCTCTTCTAGGGCTGTCACAGCCCTGCAGCCCCTGGACACTGCCTGGCCTGGAGCAGACTGCCGCACACCCCTTCAGGCTCCCTTCCTAACCCACACCTCCCTATGCCCCGTCTCTGGCCCAGTCTCTCTCTCAGGGCCTAGAGGAGTGGCGCCCTCTGTGAGCCTTAGGTCTAGTCACAAGTGATGACAGGAGGGGGTCTCCTGGGCCTCACCTGCAGCCACCCGCGGGCGGCAGTGCCCCTCCTGCGCATCGTACTCCTCCTGGTCACTGGTGCAGAGGCACAGGAAGGAGCCCTCCACGTTCTCGCAGAGCGCAGTCCCACATACGGCCAGCATGAGCTCACACTCGTTCACGTCTGCCAGGCAGAGGACAGGCTTGTGGGCAGAGGAGAGGCTGCCCAGGCCCCCTGCCCCTGCCCCTGCCCCCTGCTCAACTGGGCAGTCCCTCCTCTCATCCTTCCGAAAGAAACAGACTAGGTGGGGGGAAGAAGCAAGAGTGGGTCTGAATTAGCAGGAAGGAGAGACAGATGGACAGAGGGCATGTCCATAGGACAGAGAAGAGTGGCAGAAAAGGTCAAAGTGGACAGAGGAAGCGTTACCCCCTGCACCCGTTCTCCGAATATGGTGTCCCTCGATCCCCGAGGTCTCTAGAGAAGGGGGGCATCTGCCTTAATGTGCTTGCACCCTGCTGGCAGAGCCTGGTGCCAGCCAGAAGGTGGAGTTGAATCTCCCTCTTCCTTAGAGCCTCCTGTGCCCACTCTGTGGACCTTATGGAGCCATGAGATCACGAACCTTCCAAGGTGAGGGCCCTCCACCTCTGTCAGGACAGTCGTAATCTGAGATCAGAGCCCCGGGGCTACCCTCCCCTTGCCCAGACCCTGGTAGCCCGCAGCTTCTCACCAACACAGTCCCAGCCCGAGGGTGAGGTCTCAAAGCCCTGGTCACAGAGGCAGCGGAAGGAGCCCTCAGTGTTGTCACAGAAGCCATGGCTCCCACACACGGTGTCATTCGCACACTCGTCTATGTCTGTGGGGACCAGAGTAGAGGGTGTGCACATGCTCTGCTTGCTGGGAATACTTACTTGGTCTATTTACACCACAATCTGCGAAAAGCAACCTCTAAGCACAGAACTAGGTAACTCTAACATTCCTCTTCAACTTCTGTGCAAGCTTTGTTGTACGGAAAATACACAAACTTCAAACAGCTGCAAAAGTAATGTCCTTGGGAGACATTTCTACCTCAATAATTTCTAGCTCAATGCTGAGAGAGAGCTGTCCTCAGCCCTCCCACCCGGCCTCCTCGCCCCTGCTCACCAATGCAGTCTCCCGTCGGAGCCACGTGGAAGCCAGGCTGGCAGCCCAGGACACAGCGGTAGGAGCCAGGGCTGTTCTCACACCTCCAGGCCCCACACACTGGGTCTCCGAAGTCCTCACACTCGTCAATATCTGCCCCCAGAGCCATGAGAGGGGACAGAGATGGCCAGGTCACTGCTCTGGTCCCACCTTGCTGGCATCATAGGGTCCTGTCCCACCACCTCTGGGGTCCCTGATCTGTTCCAAATTACTGTGCTCACCTCAACCCCAGCCACAAGCACAGATAATTGCCCCTGACCCAGTAGGGCTGAGCATCTGGGAAGAGAACTGTGTGCTATTTAGGAAGCTCCGCACTCCAACCTGCTGTGACTCTTCTCCACCTGCCCTCGCACCCCCTCCTGTAACCCCCAGAAAAGCTCTTTATACTTCTCTTTAAATGAAACCTTCGTCGTAGTCTATTACAGGCTTGGCTTCATATCTGTCTCCCTTGCTGGATTTCAAGATAATCTATAACTGTCTATTTGTCTTAGCAATAGACATTGAAAGTAGCAGGTGTTTAATAAATGTCTGTTGAATCATCCTGGCCTTTAAAACTAGACTGTGTGGTCTGCCAACACAAAGATTATGATTGTCTTCATTTTGTCATCCTGAATAGTCCCTGAGCCAGCGGAGGTCCAATAGCGCATTACCCATGGATGATGAATCTGTGCGAAGTGCTCTGCTTCACGGGAACTGAGAGCTGGTGGGGGTGGGTGGGCAGGAGGACAGAGCCCTGTGCAAGACCCCCTTCCCCTAGAACACTTACCCACACACTCGCCGCTGTCTGCAGAGGGCCGGAAGCCAGGCTCACACAGACAGTCAAAGGAGCCGTCAGTGTTGACACAATGCCCTCCTGGACACTGGTCTGTGGCTGCACATTCGTCCACATCTAGGATAGAGACAGCTGTCAGACCCAGCCATGGGCCCCTTCCTGGTCAGGGCTCTGTGCCGCTTCCTCAGGGCCCTGAGCAGGCCATAGGAGGGCCTGGGAGACTGGAGGGAGAGTCCAGAGACATAAAGCAGAGGCCAGGCTGGGAGGAATGCCCCTGGCATTAGGCCAAGTGGAGAAGGATGACACCAAAGAGTTGGATGGGGTGAACACCTGCCAGAGACATCATACAGAGGCCCTGGTGAAGGGCTCCAAGCCCCTCCCTGAACTGGCTCCCTCTCATCTCTCCCTGCCTCCCATCTTCCCATCCCTGGGGGGGCCTCCCAGGCCTTACTTCAGTTCTGATATCCCGGTGGACTCTACCCTAGACATAGCTCCTAGCGCCCTTGCTGCTGGCTAGGAGACACGGCCACACTGGCTTCTCACCCTGGCAGCTGGTGCCCCTGTCTGCGCTGGCATAGCCGGGTGCACAGAGGCAGAAGAAGGAGCCGTGGCTGTTGAGGCACTCGCCACGAGGTGCGCAGTACTCCTCCCCCACACACTCGTCCACATCTGCAGGGACAAGTGGGGTGTGGCTGTCTCCTGGGGATGTCCCACCTCCCCACATACTCACTGCCCTCAGGCCCCAGTGGGGATCCCCGGCCACTCACCCTCACACACGGTGCCATTGACTAGCTGGAAGCCCTGGGGACAGAGGCACTGGTAGGAGCCTTCTGTGTTCTTGCACTCGCCTCCCAGACAGCTGCTCTGCAGGTCTGTGCACTCATCCACATCTACCGGGGCACACAGGGGGAAGGCAACCGATGGCAGTACCTCCAAGGACAGGACCCGGAGGGAGTCTCCAGAGGACCTGCCACCTGCCTGCAGAGACTGGAGCCATCGGGGCATCACCCCCTCACAGAGCAGTGCAACTCCTTCACTTCTGCCCCAGCTCCACTGGTCCCCCTGCACTGGGAAGGGCTTCCCTCTGTCCACACCCTGCCAAGCGACCGTGGCCTAGGGTAGTCAAACCCCGCTGCCCTGACCATGGGTGAGAGGGCTGAGATTTTACTGAGATGCAACAGAAAAGCAAGTGAGAAATAAACCAAGGAAACTGGAGAACCCGAGAAGCTTATAGAAACTAGGCTCTTCAGGTTGGCCTATGGACTGTCTAGTACAGGCCAATGTTTTCCCAATGCCTAGTACCCACCCTCATGAGGGATACTCAGACAGCTTTTAGAAACAGATGCCAAGGCCCTCGCCTGGTCTGGGTTAGCGGGCCCAGGGTCAGGCCAGGAACACACTGAACAAGCTCCTCAGTGATACTGATACTCGGGACCTTGCAAACCAGGGACTCGTTGGCCCACTAGACTCACACCTATAGTCACTCTTCTGACTTCTGTTCTGGGGGCGAGCATAGGTGTCCCTGGCCAGCCCACCATCAGAGGTAGACAGAGGGTCCTGCCCATTTCCTTTTCAAAGAGGGACAGATACAGAACCCCACCTACTCTCTCTCCCTCCAGGTCCCTTACCTTCACAGATGTGGCCCAGGGGGCCTGGCTGGTAGCCCACATCACAGTCCTTGCAGGAGAAGGAGCCAACTGTGTTGGTGCAGACGCCGGAGGGGCAGACTCCCGGGAAGGCGCACTCATCTAAGTCTGGGGCAGACAGCCAGCTGGTAGCCCAGGGACCTGGGGGGACTCATTCCACCCAGTGGGGCAGAAACCTCACCCACCCTCTTGCCCCCTCTCTGAGCTTGTAGGACACTCCTGGGGAATGTGCTCCTAAGGGATGGAAGGCCCTGGTCTTCTCCAAGGCAACCCAGGGGTAGCTCTACCCACAGCTTCCCGCTTGTCTCTGTGACTCCCTTTTCTTCTTCTCACCTCTGAACTCAGGGATTGTGACAATGGAAACCCTCCTGCAGGGCCCTCTAGCCTGCATTGGACCCCTTCACATCAGCCCAAAGCTGGGGGACAAATGGAATGTCCTTTAGGAGGTAGGAAAGTCAGAGCAATGCTCTCTGACCCCTCTGCCACTGCCGGTCCGGGGTTACCTTCACAGGCGGTGCCATCTTCATTCACCCAGTACCCGCTCTCGCAAGTCGAGCAGGTGAAGGAGCCCTCGGTGTTGAGGCAGAGGCCCGCGGGGCACGAGGCCCGGCTGGCACACTCGTTCACATCTGAAACAGGCCATGGAATCGTGTGGGACTCTGTAGGACAGACATGCCAGGACAGCCAAAGACTGGCAGGTGGCCAGGGCTGAGGGACAGGCAGGTCTTGGCCGGGATGAGCTGGGTCAGCAAGGTTAGGTATGCAGGACCAGGGTGGATGGTGCCGTGGGGCAGGGGCATGGGCAGAGGGGAAGGAGCCACGGGTCACTTCGGCATCTTTGTACCTTGGCAGCCCTTCTGGTCTGCAGTGGTTTCATAGCCCTGCTCGCAGGAGCACCTAAAAGAGCCTTCCAGGTTGGTGCACTGTCCATGGGCACAGACCCCAGGGGTCAGACACTCATTCACATCTGTTGGTGGGAAGTCTGAGATGGTGGGCTGCCCCCCTCGCCTTCACGCAGCCCGCCTCGCAAGCATAGAGCAGCTCAATTATGAGACCAGGGAATCAGCCTTCAGGGGACCCTAGGCCTCCCTGGGGGCTGTAAGGCCATGAGAGCACACGTCTTCATTCCACCTCTGCAGGGCAGGGTGCCCTCCTCCGACTTTGCTTCAATCCGACCTAATAACACAGAGCCCCCTGCATGTGTCCCAGGACAGGGGGCCAGGTCCCCGGCCCTGGGGCTGGTCTGGCCCATTTGAGGACACCTGGAATAGAGTGTCCAAGATCCCTGATTCACTTCACTGTGAATCTGAGCCTCTCTGGCCTACCTGCCACCCAAACAACCCACATTCCCAGCTCACAGTCAGCTTCACAGGTGGGCGGGCAGTGTGGAGAGAGGCCAGCCTGTGCTGGATGGCTGAGTGACAAGTCCCGAGGGCCTGAGAAACATCTGCCCTCTCTAGAGCCTCAAAGCATCTATTCAAAGCTCAATCCCTCCTGGCACTCTGAACCCCAGCCCTTAATCCTGCGGGGGTGGAGGGAGAGAACACTCCAGAGGGAGAGGAGCAGGGCCCTCCAGGGAGGCAGTGCTGTGTAGGCAGAAGCGCAGGAGACCCATGCACCCTGGAGACTGCAGAAAGGCCTGACTGTGGGCTGTCTCCCCTGAGTTGGCTTCATCCTGAGACTCTTTTTTTAATTTTATTTTTTTGGAGAGGTTTTTTTGCTATAGGGCCCGTGCACTCGCCAGAAAGACAAAGACAGAGAGACAGAAAGTGAGAAATCACCCCCCAGGGGGGATGGCCATGCTGCAATCCCTTCTCCTCCATTCTCCTCACGCACACGCACCCAGTGTGAGATTAAGCCGCCAGGTCCAGGACTCGAACCGCGGTCGACTATGTGGGAGTCCAGCGACATAGCCATTATACTAACTGCTGGTTCCCATCCTGAGACTCTTAAACTCCTCTCTCCACCCTACAGGATCCAGACATAAAACCTTCTAGAATCTTGGGCTATGGCTGCAGAAAGGAAAGAACCAAGGAGTAGAAGAGGCCCCTTCCCTAGCTGATTCAGAGGACAGAGCACCAGTAACTGAAGCACATCCACCTTATGTCTGGTGTCATCTAGGATTGTGGAGGATCATGGAGGGTAATTGTCTCCAAGCCACCTCCCTCTGCCCACCTCTTTCACCAGAGGTCCCAGGGCTGAGGAACCCTCTCATTGCCTTGGCAAGCCTCTCTCACCTACACAGCTACCGCTTTGGCCCCGGTAGCCCTCCTCACAGGCCAGGCAAGTGTAGGAGCCGGCAGAGTTGACGCATCTCCCATCAGGGCAGGTGCCAGGGTGACGGCATTCGTCGATATCTGTAGAACAACAGCCCCTTCCTTGGTCATGCCTGGGAACCAGAGCACATCTGTGACATAGCAAATCCTTGACCCTACCCTTGGTTAGGGAGAAAGATGCCAATTTTTGTACAGATGAAAACTAGGAAAAAGTGAGAGTTGTTCTGTGTTCCCAACGCCACCTCCTACCCACTGTCCTGGAAAACAGAGAGAGACAGAACTTAAAACTTAGGAAGGAGACTCCCTGGGTGGGTGCAATAGGATGTGGTTACCGCTAGCTGTGAGAAGGTCAGAGAGCTCTACTGCATGAGCTGGGCTGTTTGGGATGGGCCTTCACATCTCCCTGGGCGAACTCCTAATCCTTTACAGGCAGTGACTGTTACTGGGATTGGACATGCTTGGCACAACAACCAGTTGGATTGCCTGAGGCCCCAGAATAGATCACCAAAGGACAGTGAAGGCAAAACAGGCTTTCCAGCTCCAAAACATGAAGACCAAGGCTGAACCTCCAATCTAAGTTATGGCCAAGACCAGCCCTGAGGCTGAGTGAAGGCCGAAGGGTAGAGACTGGCAAGACTTCTTTGCTGGAGGGGTGCCAGACCTTTCTTCCAGCCAAGAATTATGCAGAGCTCCTGGCAACCACCCAAGAGATTCAAGAAAGCTATCCAGAAAGGATGAGCCTGAGATCAACCAGACAGGCAGGGGAAGAGGGGACTGGACCCAGGGAGGGAGAATGACAAGGAGGGGAAAGGGGAACTTTCCCCAGAAGCTGAGAGCAGGTTCTTCCCTGATCTGGCATAATGGGGAGCCCATCTTCTGGGGAGTCCATCTTCTGAGGAACCCCAGGGACCTGGACTGAGTTAAGGAAGTCACATCCCAGGGTCTGAACTCTGGGTCAGAACTGCAGGAGGACGTTATACTCTTCCGGCCCGGCACCAAGCTTCTTGGTCACTGTGGATGATGGACAGATTGGCCAAGCTCCAGGAGAAATGGGAGGCTGCGATCTTCCTAAATGAGAGATTGCCATTCTCCTAGATGAAGTCCACCAATTTATGCAAATACAGAAGCCCTACTGCCTAAGGGGAAGACCTTGGCACTCATGGAGGAATTGCAGAAAGCAGACCAACCCAGTCTTTCCGCAAAGGGACTAAAGTCAATAGCTGTCATTGCAGAACAGGACATGGGTCCTAAAGTGGAGGGTGAAAATGAGTCTCCTCTGAGTTTTTTTGGTCTTCAGAAGTGAGGACACATTAAAATCCTCTGTCCCAAGGGGCTGAGACCTCTCAGTCCAAAGCTTCTTGAGGGTCCAGTGAGGAAGACATACCCACAGGGCAGGTGGTATTCAGATGGTATCTACAAGGAGATAGCCATAACTCCTATGTAGTCTTGGGGACACCAAGATAAGACTCATCTCTGGAAAGAGGAAAACCAAGGGCCCCTAGGTGGATTGTGGGACACCAAGTTAAACTCTTCAAAGGTTTCTATAAAGACAGAGATGGGGAGAATGAAGAATCTAGGATCTTCAGCTTTGGCCATCCAGAAGAAAGCAGCCAGCATCATGTTCTGCTGGCCTTGGCTGAGGAAACTGAGGAGGATGGGAAAAGTGACTGGAAATAATAGGCAACCCCTTCTTCAGGGATGTAAGAGCCAGGATGAAGAGAGCGAGGCGAGGACCTTTCTGAGTCCATGCCAAGGAAAAACAAAGTCCTTGGACTTCCCCTGCAGGGATCCAGCAATGTAGGAAGATTAGGTTTCCCAGGATCAAGGGCCCGTAGGCCTTTCCTGCCCCAAACTGCTAGGCACATCTATTGGAGGTGGTGTATGAAGTGCTTATGCCAGGCATTTAGGAGACGTGGTGCTCACTAAGGCTTTTCACTGAGAGTCCAGCCTCACTTTTAGGGCTGTGGTAGGCTTGTGTCCGTTGGTCTGTTGTGGTTGGGTGGAGCTATGAGACAAGTGCTGCCAATGCGCTGTGAGTGGGTGAGACGTGCAATCAATAGACCAACACACTTAATCTGGCGCAACCCTCCAGAGTGTGCTTTCTTTCTTCCATGGAAGCTGGCCACATTCCAGATCCTGGCTATTCCTCTAGTCTAGTTGTAGAGGAAACACAGGGCAGAGCCCCTAGCTGAGCCATGAGGGACATGTAGCATGGGTATGATATAAATGTGGCTGTATTCCAGTTCACTAGGACTGGGGTTGTTTGTTAACGCAGCATAGTGTAGTCTATCCTGACATGGCAGTAATGACCACCCATAAGAGGTCTGTCAGAAAGTGGGAGGAAATGGGCTGAAGACAGGGCAGCCCCTCAGTCTCCACCTGAGCCAGGGAAGGGCTCTCCTGAATGAGAGTGGACATAACTGAGCTATTTGGCAAGCCAATTCAAAGGAGCCAAAAGAAGATTTAGATAAAGTGGATTCTATCACCAAAATTGTCTTGTCAACCTCTTGGTGCCTGGACTGAGCCAGTCACTGGGTGCAGAGTTCTCTGCCTACTCTAGGGTTTGATTTTAATCTCTTGGTAGGTATATTTAATACTCTGGTAGCCACGGCCAGGAGGTACCTTTTTTACTATTATTTTCCAGTCCATGGGTGGCACATACCTGGCACTTAACGGGTGTTTGCTGACCAAAGAAGAGGACAATGTGCCTAAAACTTCACCCAGCATCCTCTTTATAGAAGGCTGCTGAAGAGTTCCCAAAGGGCCCACGTGGACAGCCACTCTGAGGACCAGTTTCTGATCTATCTGTATCCTGGGAGACTCCTGAAGCTTCTCTGCCCAGGAGTCAGTCTTGGAATGAGAAAATGCAAAGGCACCAGGTCTGTTCCTTGTAAGAGCATGGGATTGGGTGGAGAGGGCATTCAAGCAGAGCCAGAAGCCCAGGTGACTTTGGCTATGTTGAAGAGGGGCAATACTATCTCTGGCAGTCTGCATGGGAATCTACTCCTGTCTGTGGGAACCTCAAGTCCTGGTACGATGGAAATGCCATTGAGACAGTTGGATGGGCCAGTGTCCAGACCACTCAGACGTTCATCAGAGACTTTGAGTTTCAGTGGAGAGAGTGGTTTCTCAGTTGGAGAGAGAAGAAAGAGGGAGAGGAAATTGACTGGGCTCCCAGGGTGATGAGCTGGGTCTGTGGTTACTGATGGAAACCTGGAGAAGTGTGCAGACTACATCATTCTTTCTTTCAACAGACTCAGAGTGCCTGTCCTGGGCCAGGAACTCTGCCTGACCTCCAGCGAGGTGTGTGTCTAGAACTTGTCCCCTGGGAGGGAAGGGGCAATCAAGAGGTGTGGACAGAGCTGTGAGGAAACTCTGGATGTGAACGAGAACAGGCTGTAATGTTTCCCCTACTTACTGAGGGTCGGGAGGTGCCGGAGACCGTGCTGGGCACTTGGTGTATATTCACTTATCTGGCCTCACAGGAATCTCTGAGACGGACATTATGGTTTCCACTTTTAGACACTGAGACACGAGTAAACCCAGGCCTCTCTGCACCAGAGCCTGTGCCCTCAACACAGACTGGTTAGCATAAATCGGATGCTTTTAGTGTTCCAGAATTGTCTTGGTTCATTTCCTTTCATTTTGCTTTTCTTTTTAATAAGGTATGATGTTAAATTCATAATGTTGTTTTGATGCTTAAATGGGGTCACCCATCAAGAACCAAGCACAGCCACTTGGTACAGAGTCAACCCCTGTCAAATGGTGGGCGGCTCCACTCTCCTTTCTCCTGGAACATGCCAGGCTGCCTTTCTCCATCATGCCAGTGGGGAGTCCTGGCTTTGATCGTGCATAGGCCTGACTTTTAAAGGGGAGCACCAAGGGGGAGGTATTAAGAGCAGAAGGTGACACAGTGGGGGTAGAGACAGAGATGTCTGCCCTACACCGGTAGCCACCTCTCCCCTTTGCTAAGCCCTTATTGAATCTGGATTTTGCTTCTGTGGCAGTGGCCTTGGGAAGGGGACCTCACCTATTGTAAGGTACATCCTTCACCTCCAGGACCCTCTGAAAGCAGGCAAGTCCCAGCCAGGAAAACCTGGAGGCTGGGAGGAGTCTGACCTAAGTGCAGACCAAGACAGAGTTTTTCCCAGAGAGAGCCTTGACCTAGGCCTCCCGTGAGCATATGATAACCACCTGATAGAGAGGGGGCTTTGGCAAAGCTGCCAGGAGGTTTTCATAGCTGGCATGAGAGTGGCAGGCTCAAGTCAGTGGGCAGAGTCTGTGAAGAGACCAGTTAGCCATGTCACAAGCTAAATTTTAGCCAGGCCTGAGACAGGGAAGAAGGATCTGGAATCTCCCCTCTACCCATCCATCCATCTTTCCACACATCCATCTATCCATCCATCCAATGAGCATTTGTTGGGTGCTTATCAGGTGTCCATGCATGGGTCATCTGAGGACAGTCCAGCCCTCAGGGGTTCACAATCTAATGAGCTTTAGCAAAAAGACCAAGACTCCCAGATAGCGGCTCTTCTGCTGCAACAAATGGAGAGCACGTTTTCCAAGTGAGAGGGCACAGGTATAGAGAAGACAGGTTCCCAGGGTGTTACGTAGATGAAGATGAAGATATCTGTGCTCCCCTCCTGCAGGCGGCACACAGGATGCTAAAGTATCCCCCAGGGGAGGAAAGGGCTCGGTGGGCAGCACACGGGGAGGGACCAGGAGAAGGTGGGAGGTAGGCTGCCTCCCTTCCCCTGCTCCTTACCTTGGCAGTGGCCTTTCCTGATCATGATGTAGCCCTGATCACACTCGCAGTGGTACGAGCCCTCGGTGTTAGTGCACTGTCCCCCGCTGCACATGCCTGGCTGCTCACACTCGTTTATATCTGTGAACACACCAAAAAATCCAAGTCGGCATCAGCTCCGGACCCAGGGGCATCCCTTCCAGAGACTGAGGACAGGGACATGCTAGCTGAGGCCCAGGTGGGGAAGGTGTCCTTGCTGTAGCCATGATTGGCTTGAGGGGCTCCTAGGCCAGGTCTGAGCCTGACCCAGCCCAGGCCCTTTTAACCCCTTTCCTCCCAGGGGAGGCTACTTTTGGGGCCCAAGGAGCCTTCACAGCTATCTCCTCACCCCGATGCAAGTGAGTTAGGATGGCAGTCCATGTGGCATGGTCTGAGGAGGCCAACAAAGTACTCCCTCCCACCCCCAGCCCCCCACATGCCCCGGGGATCCGCTCCTTGCATTCTTCTTAAAGTCCTTCTAAAAGGTTAGAAGTTGAGCTGCCAATGAGAGAGATGGTGCCACTCCCCTGCTTGAACACCTACCTAGGCTCCCCTACCTCAGGTGCTGCGTATAGTCAGCTCCTAAAGCCTTTGCCACCCAATCCCAGCCTTGCGCTCCCTAATTCATAATCACAGCCATTCCCCTTGGCATAGCCTCAGCCACAGTAGATTCCCACTGGCCAACCTCACCTCGGCCCCCTAACCCCAACACTGGTTCAGATGCTACGCAGAGTCCTTGTGCAGATTCACTCGCTATCCAGATGGAGGACTTAGCACAGCACCTGCCCGGCAGAAGGTAAGCACTGAAGAGCTGTTAGCTGTCACTGTAATTCTAGCGTTAAACCTAACCCGTACAATCCAAGTTCCTCAGCTTGGCATATGAGGTCTTTTAAAAGTACTTATTTAATAGGCAGATAATTATATCATATATTAACTATATATCGGGTCATTGGAAAAGTCAAGACACATTGTTGCGTATAAAAACATAGAAAATATTTCATGACTTTTCTAACAACTCAATAATGAAATTATAATGATTTATATTAATTATATAAATTATTTCAATTTTAAAAGTTCCTTAGCTCTTTTCTTCCTTTCCCTCCCTCCCTTCTTCCTTTCTTCCTTTCCTTCCTTTCTTTCTTCAAGAGAGACTAAGACACAGAGAGAAAGATAGGGACAGAAGATGGCACACAAGTGAAGGAGGCCGGATCCCACATGGCTGACTGCAGGGTTTGAGTCCAGGACCTGGCAGCATGAAAAACATGCTGTGTGCGCACATGCCCAAAGTCCCCAGAGAAGAATGGAGAAGAGATTACAGCATGGCCATGCCCCTGGGATGTGATTTCTCTCTCTAGTGAGCACACATGCCCTATAGCAAAACTAACAAAAGAGAGGGAGAGAGAGAGAGAGAGAGAGAGAGAGAGAGAGAGAGAGAAAGACTATAGCAAAACTATAACAAAAGAGAGGGAGAGAGAGAGAGAGAGAGAGAGAGAGAGAGAGAAAGACAGACAGAGGCAGGCACCCACAACAGAGTGCCCACACTGCAGTCTGCTCTCAGTCCCAGCTGGCCCAGAGGCCCAGTTGCACAGGCATGTGCACATTGCTGTGTGCTCAGGGAGGTCCCAAGACGAGAACCCAGGACTTTAGCTATGTGGGCCCAGCTGTGGCACAACATTGCCCCTATTTACATATTTTTGAAAAAGCATTAATATTAAATTAAATCATTGAAGTAATGAGATATCACTTCACATAAGCAGAAAAATGGAGAAAGCAGATGTTACCCCATATAAGTCCTCTTCAAGTGGCGCCAAGAGAGAAGCAGCACTTATGGCTCACTTTGGGCCGTAAGTTCGTCAACCCTCTTGGAGCAAGCCAGGCCTGCTCACTACTCCAGTCACTGCAGAGATGGTTCCCTTTGCCCGCCCCAGCTTTTGGGCTGGCAGGGGCACAGGGACAGCCAGGCTAGCACGAGGTAGAACTCCTTGAATGGGCCAGTCCTGGTGACGCCATTCCCTGCATCAGCCACTCTCCTCCTGGGCCAGCTCCCCAGGCCAAGTAGGCAAGAGCAGTGGCTCTGGCCCAGGACACCGGCTTCAGCTGTCCCCAGCCTCTCCCCCCCACCCTGCCTCCTCCAGCCTGCTCTGAGCACTGCTGCCTGAGTCACCTCCCTGACAGCCAGCTGACCCCATCACCGCCCTGCTGCTGACAAACCTCTCCTGGCTGCCACCACCAGCAGCGGCATCCAAGTACTTCAGCCTGGCACTTAGACACTTCCCGGACTGGCCTCAGCTTCTGCCACTTCCTTCCTGTACCTCACGCTCCACTCTGAGTTCGTCATCCCTCTTGGAACAAGCCAGGCCTGCTCACTACTCTGGTCACTGCAGAGATGGTTCTGTTGCCTAGGACGCTCTCTGCTCCCTCCATTCCTAGTCACGTCCTGTGATGGTGTCCCCCACCTGCAAGTTAGGGACTCAAATTGTGGTGAGCCATGTGGGAGTCCTTAATCACCATGCCACCTGCTGGCCCTTGTTTTCCTGCAGATTTAATCACCACGCCACCTGCTGGCCTGTTTTCTGTAGATTTTAGAGGGTTGAAACTCAAGGGGACCCTGGCAGTGAAAGGACACAGCTATGCTGGCCTCCCTGGGGGCAGCTGTGAGTCACCACTGGGCTGTCCGGGCCAGAGGCAGTGACATGAGCCAGGAGCAGGTGGTGCTACCTAGAGGTGAAGGCCTTTCAACCAGGCTGGGAATCTTAAGACCCTGTTTAAGAAGTGCTGCATCATACCCTTTGTGAACTCATTCAGAAAAGTGAGCGGAGTGTCCTGTTGGAAGCAGGTTTTCCCAGGGGCCCGAGCAGCGGGCCTTCCCAGGGAAGCCCAAACCTTGCAGGTGTCTCAAGCTATTGGAGACCCTCAAAGGCATGCCAGCTGCCCAGTCTGCCAGGGTCCCAGCTTGGCATCCTCATGGTGGTCCTCGTTCTCCATATGAAAGCAACTCTTTGTCACGTAGAGTTTAAGGACCTGGCTTTTAGTCCCCGTCCCCAGCTGTCTCCCCGATGCCTCACACTCAGCTCCAGTCACAGCTCTTAGGGGCCTTTGCAAAGATCGCTGCTTTTGGAGTCCTACACTTCCTTACAGTCTTGCTCAGGTTCCCCTCCAAGCCCAGGCCCAAGATCTGGTCTCCCTTCCTGAGGCTCCCCTCTCCTCATATTGCAGCATGCGGCTGGAGGCTGTGGAACCTGGTTCATCCCCCACCCCCATTACGCCATGAGGCACCACCAAGACACACTCTGCTGTGCCCATTCTGGAGTGGTGGGCTTACCTTGGCACTCTTGAGTCGCCCCTGAGCTGGCCAGCGTGTAGCCAGGGTAGCAGAAACAGGAGTAGGAGCCCACGTGGTTGACACAGCGCCCTTTCCCCGCACAGGGGTCCCCCAGACACTCATTGTCATCTAACCAGAGGGAAGCAGAGGGAGGTTAGCGAGGCCAGCAATGCCTTCTTTGGGCACCTGCTGGCCATTTCTCCACACTACAGGCTGGGCAGGGCATGATGCTCTGTGACAAGGACAGGGTAAAGGTGCAGAAGAGGCCGAGAGACCAAAATCTGAGGCTAAAGGCAACAAAGTCAGACCATCGGGCCCATCTAGGCACTAGGGACCTGGAGGGACTTTTATCACTGCCCCTCATCCCCCTGGCCCCATGGTCACTTCCTTTCTCCTTCAAGACCAAAGTGGATTTTTCCAAAATATTGAGGAGAGAGAAGGAACGAGCCCATATTTCATTTATCTTGGCCCCACGTCTCTCCCAGGGATGGCTCTGATGGAGATGTTTCCACCTGGGGCAGACCTTGGTCTGCTCTACAGGCAGTAAAATGGCCAGTTTGAGGGGGCTGATCTCAGAGTAGAGGGCTTCCAGGTGCTGACTGAAGCACTGGGTGGCTTCCCACTCTCCTGGAGTCCTGGGACTCCTCAATAGGGCTCATAGAGCCTGCACTCCCCCGACACACCGGAAGGTTAAGGTTAGCTTTGTCCACAAGGACTGCACTCCTCCTGACCCCACCAACCACACAGCACCGTTTGGACCTTCTGCTGCTTGGACTCTCGATCTGTCCCTGGTCCCTGCTCCTCAGCTCTGAGTCAGCACCCTAAGTGAGTACCTGTGCAGTAGGCCTGGCTGGGGTGGAGCCGGTAGCCAGGGCTGCAGACACATGTGTATCCATCTGGGAGGCTCACGCAGGTGCCAGGGCCACAGATGTTGGTGGCTCCAGCTGCACACCGATCAATGCCTGTGAGGGACAGAGCAAAGCAGGCTGGAGCGGCAGGGAGAGAGGGTGTGGGCCGGGGGCCAGAGGCTTCAGGAGGCCAAAAAGTCTGCCCCAGCTTACCAGTCTACTTCCATATCCAACAGGGCATGGCCCTTTATAAGACTCCCTGAGACCTCTGCCCAGGCCCTGAGCCCTTTGCGGGATGCAGCTTGCAGTAGAGTGTGCCCCTAACAGAGACCTAATAGCAGTTACCCGGATCCCAGCTGTCGGCCCCCTGCTGAGGCCTCTGGCCTGACTTCATCTGAGTAAGTGCCTGGGTCTTACCTCTATGCCTAGTGCTACCTCTCCCTGGCAACTCCTGCCCAGTTTCCTCCAGACAGACAGGCAGATTTGGTGATTTAGGGTGTATGGGGAAAACTGTCAGGGGGAAAAAAGGGGTGGTGGGCTGGGGCCAATTGAGCAGGGCTGTGAACGCCACATTGAGACTGGCCTCTAAGCAAGAGGGTCATGGAAGGTTGGGGTATGATCAAATTTCCCCAGAAAACCCAGCTGGGAAGCAAGATGGCTGAGGAGGGCTGGAAATGGGTAAAAAGTGGAGATACAGGTGCTAAACAGAACGGCTTGGAAGCAGACTCACCAGGACTCGGGGATGAGGCTCTGTAGGCACAGGCTCCTGCTCTCTACCACTGTACCCTCAGACTAGAAGGATCTGACACTCGGAATGGGCTCAATGAACGAATGAATGAACAAATGGCACTTTCAGCCTCTGTGTCCTCCTTGAGGTCTTAGTCCCCATACTCAGGCTTCCCACCCTGCCCCCACAGCTCTGAGAGAGCCCAGGAAAGCCCAAGGGATTGGGCTGTAACCATCCTTGGAGTATGCACACTGGCTGGATGGTGAGGCTACCTATCCCCTGGTCTGGCTTCAAGTTTGGGTCAGCCTGAGGGCTCATGGGGGGGGGGCCCAGCTGGATTCTAAATGTCTACCCAGAGGGGTGAGTTTGGGGAAGGCAGGGGAGGAGGGCAGCAGGTAGAAGGCTGAGGCAGATGGTGGCAGTGGTAGCAATGCACCCACATAGCTGAGAGCTACTGCTTGGGTGGTTTTCCACTCTGCTGGAGTCCTGGGGCTCCTCAACAGGGCTCACAGAGACTGGGCCCCTCTACCCCCCCACCAAAAGGTTAAAGTTAGCTTTGTCTACAGGAACGGCACTCCTCCTGACCCTACCAATCACATGGGACAGCTTGGGGGTCCTGCTGCCTAGACTCTTGATCAGGCCCTGGCCCCTGCTCCCCAGGCCCTAATCAGCACCTTAAGTGAGAACCTACGCAGTAGGCCTGGCTGGGGTGTAGCCGGTAGCCAGGGCTCCCTTCCTGCAAGCTGGGTTTCCCTGTCAGAGACTCGGCCCTCCCCAGCAGAGACCCCTTAACCCAGCCACCTGGAGGAGGTTCCCTGGTGCATTGTTCTGGACCCAGAAGAAACAGGTCCTGGGACGGGTCAGCAGGGGACCCTCTGCACCCTCCCTCCACTCTTGCCTGTTCCACCAGGCTGTAGAGGCTCTCCCTTTGCCGGAGAAAATCTAAACCTTCTCCCCTTCACCTCCCACTCAAGGTGACTTGGGTCTCCGACCTGAGTCCCTGAGTTGAAGAGAGGGTGTGAGGGTGCACACGTGCAGAGGGAACAGCAGCGCCAGCACTGGCACTGCTTCTCTTGACCCGAGTCCCCAGACAATGAGCCTTTGAGGAGGGCACATTCCAGAGCAAGGTGGTTTTGCCAGGGGTCCCCCCTACACTGTCATTGCAGCTGACCAGAGGGAGAGGAATGCAGGCTCTCAGTTAACTGACCTTGAGAAACAGAGCTATGTCCCTTCCTGAAAGCCAGCCCCCGTGGGCAGGAGGCTGGCATGGCCAGGGCACTCCACTCTCTCAGGGAAAACAGCCTGGAGGTGCCAGGCGCCTGAGGCTCCCACTCCCTGTGTTCTCATTCCCCAAGAGGGCCCCTTGGATCCTCCTGGAACCCCCCAACTTCCCTGGAGGCCTCAGAGTAGGACCCTCCACCAAAGCCTCCAGTCTCTTCCCCTTCCCTGGTTTGAGTAGTGCTCCAGGCAGGCCTCCTGTTTTCACCAGGGGGACCCTGTGCTCTTTGTGAGATGGGCCAGAGACTCAGCAGCTGTGCAGACTGCCCATGAGGTTGAAGAGGCAAGGGAGGGCCCTACTCATGCCCCAGCCCTGGAATTGCCTCTGGACAGCCACAACTCGCAGGGTAGGGTGCAAAGGGCCTCAAAGGGCTGGCTGCAGGTACCTGGGGCGCCAAGGGTTGCCAGCACATCGGTGGAGGGGGTCACGTGTTCTCCTTCCTGGGTCTCTGGAAAGCCCTGTCCGGGCAGCACTGGAGACGTTGGTCTTCCCATGGCATCCTCTGCAGAGGGGAGGAGGGGAAGGTGGGGCCCCAGCCTCTGGTGAGCAGTGGCTCTTCTCTCCTCCCTGCTGTTCAGACTCCCAAGAATGAAGGGTGGGGCCTTGGGTGGGTCATCCCTTGTGCCTTCAAGTCTCCTGAAACTTGGCCTAGCCCTATACAGCTAGAGTCTGAGAATCTGAGAGCCCTAAGAGGTTTTATAGTGCATTCAGTCCAATCCCCATGCCATAGGTGAGATCGAGGCCTGCAGAAAGCCTTGTTCAAGGCCAGCCAGTGTATTAGAGGCAGGGAGCCAGAGTAGGAGTCTGGGTCTCCTGACCCCCACTTCAGTATTCTTTCCTTCTGTTTGCAAAGATTTCACAGTTTACAGAGCTCTGCCACAAATACCGACCCTTACTAGCCCCAAGAGGCAGAGGCAGGCATCGGTGTCCACTCCACAGGCAGAGAAGGCTCAGTCTTTGATTGCTGCACCCAACACTAGCGACTGGCAAGCTGGGCTCTGCAGAGCGTCGACAGTTTCCAGGAGGGAAGATGAGGCCCACGTGGGGCGGGGGGTGGGGGGAGTTCTGGAAACCCAACCAACCCCGTTTAGGCTAGTACTTCCTCCTTGGTCTGACTGATGGGCTGAGTGGCTCCGTGGAATTTGAAAGAGCTCTGTGGATAGTAAAGTATTTGCAGAGCATCGTGGAGTCTCTCACTGAGCTCAGAGCACCTTGGGTGTATAGAGCTCCAGGAAAGAGCATTTTTTATAATGTCATTCACGCCCTCCCTGATCTGAGTCCCAGGGCCCAGTTCATGCATAGTGACTCCACTACCACACCAAGCCTTTCTTCCCCTCCTTTCTCTTGTCCTTGGGAGCCATTATGTGAAGGACTCACCTGGGACCCAGGCAGCTAAGTGGCCAACACTGGTCGTGACCTGCACAGAAACAAGAGAAGGTCACTTTTGGCTCCCCTGTCACCTCCATGACGTGCTTCCACCACACTCACCTCCACCTCTGGTTAATATATTTTTTCATTCATTTGGTATCAATGAGTTTTCACTATGTGCTAGGAATTCTGCTAGGCACTTTACATCCATGGTCTTTAAAATTTTTTTTTTTTTTTTGGAGAGATTTTCACTGTAGGGCACGTGCGCTCCCCAGACAGACAGAGAGAGACATAGAGACAGAAAGCGAGAAATCACCCCCAGGGGGGGTGGTCACGCCGCAATCCCTTCTCCTCCATTCTCCTCTCGGGATCTTGGGCACGCACGCACATGCGCCCGGCGTGAGTTTGAAGCCACCGGGTCCGGGACACGAACCGCGGTCGACTACGTGGGAGTCCAGCGACATAGCCATTACGCTAACTGCTGGTTCCCTAAGAATTATTTATTTTTATTTATTATTGTTATTATTTTAATTTTGCTATAGGACATAATTAAAATTAATTTTGCACTCACCAGAGAGAGAGAGAGAGAAAGAGAGAGAGAGAAAGCAAGAAATGAAGCTGCCAGGTCAGGAGCTTGAACTGCAGTCAGGCAAGTGGGAGTCTAGTGCCTTAACCACCATGCCACCTGCTGGCCCCTATATCCATGGTCTTAACTCATTTTCTCAACCATCTTACGCTGATGGGTTATAATGATTAGAGCAGTCGATCTGTATGTGTGTCAGTTTGATGTTGGGCACATGGTGGAATGTTAGCATGCCTGGCATCAATGCTGTTATCCCATACTTGGAGGAAGGAAGTTCCAGAGGGTAACCAGAATGTGTAGGGCCATAGTGCAGTGAAGTGGGGACCCAAAGCCATACCTGGTGTCCCTCATCACAGCCTATGGACAGAGGAGAATGCAATGGAGAAGCAGGAGAGGAATGGGCAGAGGATGGAGTGTGGCTGGGTCTGGGAAGACACAGACATGGAGCTTTGGTCTAGATGGGCAGTACGCGATAATCCAGGAGAGAACAAGCCCACTGGAGAGACAGCGATTGGGACAGTCAGGTATGCAATTGGAGGGGCAGGGGGCAGGGGAGGGATTGGCAGACCATGGAAGGAAGAATCAGATTCATTCTTCTGGAACGTTTTTCTGGGGACACCCAGTTCTTCACAGGGGACTGCTGGGCATGGGAAAAGGAGTCAGATGCCTTTTTTATGAAGTGGTTTGAGGTCATGCATGGCTGTGCCTCTGCTTCCCCATGAACCACTCACAGAAGACACTTGGAGATTTAAGTTATTTCAGTTCTGAAAGTTCCAGATTCAGAGTGAACTGGAACCAGCCCTTGACCTCATCTGCAGTGCTCCAAGCCTGAGTGACAGCCAGAACTAACAGGTCAGTTCCTATTTCCCTTCTGAGGGAGAATCCGTGCACAGGGAGTGCTCTGTACCCAGGACCTCTTGTGACTTTCTTCAGGAAACTGGGCCTTTGGATCAGCCCTCCCACTTGGACACTCTTCAAGTAAAATCCATCTTTCTCTCTTTCCTGCCTCACAAAACACTGCCCTGGAGCCTCAGCAGCCACCGGGCCCTGTCTTCTACCACCCTTGCCCAACTCCCCAGAGGGAGGACTCACCTGAACAGCCCGAGAGTCAGCTGGGAAGGGAAAACGAGATAGTGAGCTCAGGCTGCCGTCTCTCCTCCACCCACGGGCTGGGCTGCTTCATAGTCTGCACCTCTAACATGTCCACAGCAGGGTCAGCAGCAGAGAGAGCTTGGGCTCATCTTACCTGCCTGTGCCCCACCCTCCCCCACAGAATCCCAAATCCCAAGGTGTGGGAAGGGGGCTGAAGATAGCTTAGCTCAGCCTCCTACTTGGTGAGAGGAAGCCTCTCGCAAGGCTTGCTTTCCTGCAAGGCTTCCAGTGAGAGGATCCCACCCCTCCCAGGCCAGTCCACCATCCATCCTATAACCCACCTCCTCGCACTGCCACCTCCTCCATCCCAGGCCTCTCAGTCACCCTGGGTCATTCAACTGCCTGCCCTGGGCTACAGGGCTAGAGAACAGGTCTGGGAAGAGAACAGTCACTCCTGGTGTGGCCAGTGGCCAAAGGGCCCAGGGGCC